AAAATGATGTAGTATATTGTATTTTAGGATTGAATATATTTAGCTGCATTAAATTTTTATTTTGTTTTATGAGATTAACAATTTTTTTAGTTTAAGTAGTAATTGATAATTAGATTTAAAAAAAATTAGAGTATTTGACCCGTCAAAAAATAACAAAAAAGTACCTGTTTAAAATTCCTTTAAATAGTTAAAAAAAAAATATGTCTAATCTATGATTAAATCATAATACTTGTTATTTAACAAAATATTCATGCCAAATTTTGAATAACATATTTAATATGTGTATCATAATACTTGTAATTTCATTTAGAAGCTAATATTCAAAACTAATTTAAAAGGTAAAATAATAAAATTTGAATCTAGCTTCAGCGAAAAAAAATTCTCCTAAATTATCATATATATTACATGCTTATAAGATGTAAAAAAAAACATGATTATAATATAGGATATAATATAATTGTGTTGGGTAAAAATAACCTAAAATCACTGTCAAACTCATCGCTTTTTTCTCTTCTCCTTCATGGCCTCAACATTGACCCTTTAACCAATCCTCGTCGTGTACACCGCCATATGTTTCCTAACCCCTTCCTCCATTGGCTCAACCGATGGATGTTCTCTTCGTCCAATTGTGTGTGTATCCTAAATTTCTGTCTCTTCACATAAAAACCACAAAAAGAAGAAGTCACATAAAAATGACAAAAAGAAGAAGTCTACATGAACTACATGACCGAACCTAACATCTTAATATCTGCTCGATGAATCTCATACCTTTTAAATAAACCAAAAAGATAATTAGTATATGTGTTTTCAAAGGAATCAACAGATGAAGGCAATGTTAATGTGCTAATTTGTTTTGCATTAGTGAAATGTTATTTATAAAGGTTGTAGATGGTTAGGGTAAGGTTTGAAAGAAAATTGAGAATATTGGGGTGATTAAAGTTAAATATCTTTTTGCAATCAGAAATAAATGCTAAATATTATCATATATCTGCATATATTTTAAATTATAAAGTATATTATAAAGTATAAATTATTGGAAACGAATAATGACGTAATTGCGATTTAGTATTGTTGTAAAGAATATGCCATTTATGTAGTTTGGTTGTTGCGATTAGTTTCCAATTAGCTTTATTTGGGGGATTATAGCTATCTCAATTTTAAAATAATTTAGATTTAAATCCGTTGACCCGTTGACCCGTTTATATATATTAGTGACATTGAATAAATTTTATGATTAGAATTATATAATGGCATATATTGTAATTTCTTACAAAATCTAAGTTATGATCCTTTAGGATGTACTTCCCAAATATTAGTATAGGATATGTGTATTAGAAATAATTAAGAAAGAAGAAAGGAACGTAGAGAGAAGGAGAGCAAATAAAATCTCTTCTTTCTTATGTCTTGTTATTAACTTTGCTCACTAACGATTACATATATATAGTAGAGTGACTTTGAGCCCAAACAACTTTGAGCTCAAGTTACAACAAGATAAACATCATCTATAAGACATGTAAGTGATGGATTATCATACCCACATTTATCTATTTATAATAATATCAATATAATGTATGAGAAAAAAAAAAACAATTCTATAAATTTGTGGTATGGTTATTGTCCGGTAAGATAATACAATAAAAATCAAAAACTATGTTTACCAACGAAATTAGCTCTATCGGTGTGTATTTAGGCATGATGAGGCCTATAATTAGTGAGTAGGTATGGGCCAGAAAAAGCCCAATCTATAGAATGAGGTTTAATTACTGAAATATGTCGATTAACATATATCTACTTATCTAGTCCTAAACTCCTAATAATTACTTTACTGAAAGAACAGTTTGGTCACAATCTAGGGTTTCTAGTCCATGGCCATGACAAAACGGAAGCAGCACGTCTCCGGCGATAATTCAGTCTTTGATCAGATTTCTGTTGATCTCGTCATCAATATTTTGTCGAAATTGCCGGTGAAGTCTATAGCTCAGTGTCGTTGCGTATCGAAGCACTGGTCATCCATTATTCGCCGTCCAAATTACAACATGTTGTTCCCGACCAAGTCTCCGGCTACACCGAGGTTCCTTTTCATCGTTGAAAATGGATTATTCGGACGAAAATTGTTCATCTCCTCTTCACCTCAACCTCAAAATCCAGATGAGCATTCATCTCTTGAAGCCACTCTTCACACGAGTTTCGCCCCCACAGATTACTGTATAATATGTCCTCCGGTCAATGGTTTGGTCTGTCGTTACCTGCGTGGAAAGGATTGCATATTTGCGGTGATTTCTAATCCCATCACAGGAGAGTATGTAACAACACCCAAAGTGAAGACAGAGGATTATCCGTCAAAGGAGAAAATGTATTTTGGTTATGATCCAGTTGAAGAACAGTTCAGGGTATTGTTTATGACCTGGTTGCCTAGTAGCGGCTCACACAACTATCAAGTTCTGACATTAGGGACTAGAAATCTTTCTTGGAGAAAGATCCAATGTTGCGTACTTCATTATCCTCATGAAGATGATGGAATATGTATCAACGGTCTTTTGTATTATCAAGCAATCATTGACCAAAAACGTTCCATCGTTTGCTTTGATGTTAGGTCTGAGAAAATCAGTTTTGTCAACATTGATCAATACTTGGCAACAAGGATCCGGGAACCTTTGATTCTGATAGACTACAAGGGCAGTAAATTAGGTGCTATTCATTGTCATATTGAAAGTAATTTCTTTAATTTGTGGGTTTTAGAGAATGCTGAGGAACATAAATGGTCAGATAATTTCTACAAAATGCCGGAAGTGCTACGTCCAAGCCGAATAGAATCATTGTTCTCTGCAGGAATGATTGGTAGTGGCGAAGTTGTTTTGTATGGAAAAAATGCACGAATATTTGTCTACATTCTCTACTACAATCTCGAGAAAAACATTATCACGAGCGTAAGCTTTCTAGTTCCAGGACTTGATTATGTGGAGTACCATGGAGTTCACACATTTCCAAACTTTGTAGGAGATGTGAAGCTTATGTAAAGGGATCTCCTTAGAGCATATGCAAAGGGGGAACACTTTGGTGTGATCTTAGATTGAAAATATTATTAAAATATTATTAAAATATTATAAGAGCTTTAGTTAAGATCTTTTGTAGAGTAATTGATTAAGGGTAGAACATGTTTAGATCTTAAGAAATAATAATTTAATAATCAATAACTTTAAATGTTATTTAAAAATTGAAATTGTTTTTTAAAAAAGTAAGTTATATTAAAATAGAGATGGAAATAAAATAAAACACAAAATACAATTCGAAATAGTTATTACACAAAAAAAACATTAAAGATATAAATGAAAAACATTAAAAAAAACATATTAATTAAAGGTTACAAACATTTTATTTAATTAATACAAAGTTAAAAAAACTTATTAATTATTTGGAAGATGTCCAAATTTATTCCATATATTCTCAATCAAATCCTCTCTTAATTGGTGATGTGCTTGTCTATCACGAATTCTTGTGTGACCATCACCTAGACCTTGGAGATTTGTAGGCATCTCGACTGAAAACGTATGAATATCGTCTTTTTCGAATTCTTCTTCGTCATAGAGAGTGTATGAATGGCGTTCATTTTCGACAATCATATTATGGAGTATGAGACATGCTCTCATAATATATGCTATTTTGCCTTTAGACAAAAACCGACATGGATTTTTAATCATGGCGAATCTAGCTTGTAGGACTCCAAAAGCACGCTCAACATCTTTTCGTGCACCTTCTTGACGTTGTGCAAACAAAGAATGTTTCGGGTGTTGAGGCTGTGGGATGGATTTAACAAAAGTCGCCCATTCGGGATAAATACCATCCGTCAGATAGTATGACAAATTATACTCCCTTCCGTTGACATAGTACTTCATTTCGGGTGCTCGACCGTAAATAATGTCATTAAATACTGGTGATTGATCAAGAACATTTAAATCGTTACAAGTACCTGGTGCTCCAAAAAACGCGTGCCATATCCAAAGATCAGGAGAAGCTACCGCCTCCAAAACAATTGTTGGTTTATCGGTCCCTCGTGAATACATTCCTTTCCAAGCGGTTGGACAATTCTTCCACTTCCAATGCATGCAGTCGATGCTTCCAACCATCCCGGGAAAACCCCGTTGTTCTCCATAAAAGAGTAGTCTTTCAAGATCCTCTGGTGTGGGTCGGCGTAGGTATTCATTGCCAAACAAATCAACTATTGCGACGACGAAATGTTCCAAACATTGACGTGCCGTCGTTTCACCAATACGTACATATTCGTCAATCGAGTCCGCCGCAGCCCCATATGCTAATTGTCGAATTGCTGCAGTACATTGTTGTAGCGGTGATATACCATTCCGGAAGGTGGCATCTTTTTTTGGTTTAAAATATGGCACTTCGGCTGCGAGACGATTTACAATACGCAGGAACAATGCCTTGTTCATGCGAAACCGTCTGCGAAATAGGTTCTCCGTGTAAGTCGGATTATCACAGAAATAATCCGACCACAACTGTTCGTGCCCGTCTTCCCGATTTCTTTCTATATAAGTACGCTTCTTCCTTTCGGTCGGAATAACCTCTTCAGTAGCATCACATAGATTATCAAATTGTTCGTCACAATATTGGTCAAAAAAATCATCATCATTATTAGATCCATGATGAAAGTCAAAATGATTGGAAGAAGAAGCCATAAAAACGGAACCGAATACGAAGATGAGAAAATATTAGAGAAGGAAAGAAGCGAATTGTATTTGTTTGAAAGGAGAGAAAGATTTTTTTGGGTGTGAGAGAGTTATAGGAAGTTTGATTTTGATGAGAGAAACATAGGTATGAATCACATATTTATAGAAAGTAATTTATGTGTCTCTTGCTTTAATTCTACAATCCAAACACATGTGACTCTTGCTTTAAAGAAAGTAATCCAAACACATGTGACTCTTGCTTTAATACTACAATCCAAACACATGTGACTCTCGGGTTTAGATTCAACATGAGTAATCCAAACACATCTGACTTTCTTAACATTACATACTCGATTACATCAATACAAAGTAAAGCTTAAATACATAGAGTCAAGTCCCATGTCTTCTTCTTGGTTTCTATCAACAGACCGATGAGAGCTTATGTTACTCTCAATTGGAGGATGCCTATCAGGTTCAGCATCGCTATCATTACTTATCATTATCGCATCTGCACACAAAGAGAGATTCAAAAGAAATGTCATTTTAAGATCAAGAACATTCCTTTTCAACAACATCAAACTTCTCAGCTAATTCAACAATGTCATTTTAAGATCAAGAACATTCCTTTTCAAGCATTCAACAATGTAAAGAGAATCAAAGAGAAACCAACAACACAGAGAGAAGTTTGCAAGCAAATCAGAAACTGGAAATAAAGACAGAGATCAATACAAAGGTAAATTAACTAAGTTAAAACAGACATCACAGCCATTAAAATTACCTAACAGAAACATCTCAGACAAACATAGTTAAAACAGACATCAATACAAAGGTAAATTAACTAAGTTTTGCCTAAATTAAAACAGCTCAGACATTAGCTTCTTCTTAAGGACTTTTTCATCTTCATCCAGTGTGTCACTCTTGGCAAGGAGAGTGTTGTAAACAGCCATCTTTTGGAGTTTTTCCCTCATCATCATATCCTTCTCTTTCTTCTCCCACATGTTATCAGACGCCAAAGCTGGTCCGACCTTGTCTTTACCTTTGTTCCTCTTGGCTTTCATTGCCTTTATACCAGGAGGCCTACTCTCTTGCTCACCAAGATTTGATCCGGAAGATGGTGCAGCATCATCGGCTTTTCTTTTGTTAGAGCTGGTTGTCTTTGAAGTAGGGTTCATAGGCTCCAGGTTAATCCATTTCTGTTCGTAGCGAAGGTCATTCCATGCATACTCCAAAGTGAACTTCTTCTTGTACTTGATAGCGTAGATCTGGTGAGCATTCTTGAGAATGTCCAAGTCATTCATGCCACTAGCTTTCTCACTCACTGCTTCAGCATAAGCTCCACAAAACCTAGCGACTAACCTATGGATTTTTTGCCATCTTTGCCTACAGTGGTCAGGGAGCCTTGGCTCAGCCCCATTTAGTACATGAGTACTAGAAGCATAATACTCTCCTATGCGTTTCCAAAAGGCACCTGACCTTTGGTCATTCCCAATTATCACATCCTTTGATGTGTATAACCAGCCGCTTATAAGAACAAGATCATCCTTGCTGGTCCAAAGCCTTCTCTCCCTTGGTGTCTTTTCTGGTTGACTTGCAGCTTGAACTGGTGGTGAGCTAGGTTGTGAACTAAAAGAAGGGATTTGAGAGAAGGAAATGTTTGCATTGGAAGAAAATTTGCCATAAGGGAAGTTTTGGAGACTATAGTATGGTTGAGATTGACACTGGTTATTTGGATGGTTATTTGAACCCATATCCGACAACTTAATAGAAGGAAGAGAAGTAAAAGCTTAGGTAAAAGGAGAGATTCAAAGAGGAGATATGATAGACGAAAAGAGAATATGAGAGAATGAATTTAACATACCTCTGGTTTAATAGAGGTAAGTTAAACTAGTTATTAGTCTTAAACTATCATTACCTACCACAATCAAATCAGGTATAAAGACACTTTCAAACCAAAAAAGCTTTAAAGTAGCAAACTCATAATGAGAGCTAACCTTGAACTACCAAGGTCAGATCAGTATTTATTATAACTTTCCACAACTAGAAAGTTAAACAGACATTACTAGTCTGTTTACAACCAAGAAACTTAAAATTAAAATCATTTCATCATAATCACATAAAAATCATAGAATATGTCACTAAATCAATCTACATTTGTAGTATTTTGCTGAAATAGATTATTATCTCGAATATAATTTCTTGTTTATGCATTTTTCATATTGAGAAAACAAGATTTGGTTCTGTAACAATTTTGAGAAGATTATTAATGTTTTACCTTCAAGATCAAGAAGTCTTTGAGGATCAGTTTGGTGAGTGATTTCAAAACCCGTAATGTCATCAAGGAAGAAAAATCTGGAGAAAAATTGAAGAAAACAGTCAAATAACGAACTAAGAAAAGCTGAGATTATGTGATTTAAAAATTGTGAGAGGAACATAGCCAGTAGTACTCACAGTCCTTTTCAGCAACAACAGTTGCAGGTACATTCAACAAGAACATTTTGAAGTAATCAATGGCAAGATCACTGTAAACCTGCATAATCAAGGAGGTCACAAGATTATAACATCTCTACTTCTCTAGTATAAACTACAAAGAGATTAACAACCTTTAGTTTCATTTTGAGCTTATCATACTCTTCATCACTCAAGATTGGGTTTCCAGAGACATAAGCCATTGAAGCCTCAAGAAATCTTTGTTCATCAGAACCTACAGTACATGGATAAAATTAGATCAAGAATCAAGAATTATGACAAAAATATAAAATCACAGTGATCATTACTTAGCATAACAACACTGCTTCCTTCCCACATCAACTCTTCTTTAAGGTTATCAAACTCTTCATTAGACATAATCGCTTTGCCTTCGTAATAGAAAGACTGCAAAAGAAAAGATAGAGAAACAATCCTCAGACTTTGAAAACTTCTCTATCATATTAAAGGTAACACAAATAAATTTGAAGATGCCATTGGAGCATCTTCATCGGCGAAAGCTAGGAGAGAGAAAGACTTCTAAAACAAAATCCTCTAAATCTCAGACTTTCGGATGAAACGATGAAACGATAAATCTCAGACTTTCGGAGAACACGTACCTACGGCTTTGGGAGAAAGAGGAAACGATGAAACACCAGATGGGTGAGGCGAAATCAATCGGAGAAGTCGGATGTGGCCTCGAGATCGTCGGAGATCTTTGTCGCCCTAAAGATGGTGTATCGGCAAAAAGAAGAGGAAAATAAAAGGAATAACGAGAAGGGATAGCAGAGAACGAAGCAAAGATCGATTAGGCTCCGATTTTACCGGAAATCGGTGCGAAATCGGCCAAGTATCGACGACGGCAACAATCGCCGCGAGAGAGGCTGGAGAGAAACAAAACCCTAGAGTTGAAACGATTTTGCCCCAAATGAAAAAAATATTTTCGATATCAAAATTCTTACCCAATCCGCGCATGCCACGTCACAGCGAGAGCGGGCCAAGAACTGATCCAGCCCAAGACCACTTCGCCTGATCTTCGCCTTCAAAACCCAAATTCTATTCATTTTTTAATCTAAGAACATGTCCAATGGGCCAGCGATAAATATGCTCTTATGTAAGTATTTACTTCTTGGGTTCGAAATAGATTACCCATTTATGTTTTTGTTTGGTCTTTTAATGAGATTTTTTTGAAGTTAATATTTCCCTTATTATTTTTTTCATTATGATTCTAGTATCGATTTCTGGATTTAATAAAATTGGTTACATCGTATTATGCTATTCTTTGTGTAAATATATTGCTCCATAGGAGAAGATTACAGCGGTTATATGTGGTAGTGAGGTAAATGAGGACACATCTATTTAAGTGATATCACTAGTAAGCTCCTGTAAAACGCTATACGATCTCAAGGCTAGCATGATAACATCATCTTTTCCACGACTCTTTATCGAGCAGAAATCAACCCATTTGGTGTGAAACTTTTCAGAAAGTTTTAGTCGTAAAGGAATATCTTAAGTTGTCTAGTGGTAAGGGAGAATTGGGGAAAGGTTGAAAGGAACTAACGCAGGTTCGATCCACCCTGGAAACAAAAATCACATTTGTGTGGGAAGTCTGGGCTTAGGCCTTGCAATTCACATGGTATCCGGGATCAGGCTAACTGGATACCCCTGGGCATTAGTCGGAAAGCATTCCAAACTTGGGGTAGGCAGTGTGGTAGTCCAACACCTAGGTGTTGGCGACGAGTCCACATGGTAGCACTTCGGTGTGTTCCCCCCGGGGCTGACCGGATCAGCCGATCGGGTATATCAAAAAAAAAAAAAAGTTGTCAAGGGACTGCAAAGCAGTTAAAGATAACTAGAGAGTAGCTTGTGGCTTTTGTTTCCGTTCTCTTTCCCTTGTTCACTTTTGCTTAGGTTTTGGACCTTTTGGCCTCTGCTTTTTACCGGTGTGAATTTTTCTTCAACTTTTGTTACATTGAAGTTTAATCAAATATCAAGTGGGAAAAAAATATTTGGAAAAAAAAGCCCAAAAAAAAAAGTCACTCCATTGTGTTTTCCAAATTTTTCACATAACTTTCTCTTTTACAAGCAAAAGATACTTGTCAATATGTATATTAGTGAACCTTGTTTAACACGCAAAAGAATAGTGTACTTCTGTTTTTATTTACTTAACCGTCGGGAACCAACAAAAAAGAAAAAATCACGTAAACCCTAATTAACTCTTCTCTGTAACGTCAGAGATGATGAGCAAGACGCAGATTCTTCAACAACAGGCGAGGCGTATTCTCGCACATAGTAACAGAAATCGTTTGTTTTGTCGCTCTTACGAAACCCTATCGACTGCGAATCAAACTCTACCGAGCCGAATCGAGACGAATATCAATCAGAAGGCAAGCATCATTCCACTGTTAGAGCAATGGAGGAAACAAGGATATCAAGTTAATCCATCTCACCTTAGAGGTCTCATCAAGAATCTCAAAGACTCCAAAAACTTTACTGAAGCACTAGAGGCAGTGGCGGATCTAGAAAATTTATTTAGTGGGGGCAAAAATACAACAAAAAAAATCAAATATTAAAATATCAAAAAAAACATAAAACTGTCACTTGGCCAAAAATAAAAAATAAAATAACATAAAACTGTCATATGAAAACACCAAAACATCTTACAAATGCACCCTACACTCGTTTATCTTTTGAAACCTTTCTATCACTTTTTTATTTGTGACAGAGTCAAATAACTCTTTTTCAATATAGCAGATAAGACAATCACTTAGAAACTGGTCTCCAATTCTATTGCGTGCAGCTGTCTTCACCAACTTCATTGTAGAAAAACATCTCTCAACACTTGCTGTAGCAACTGTTAAAGTTAAGACTTACTTCAAAAGCCTGTAAACCAAAGGATGTGCAAGGTGCTTTTGGGTTTTCACCATCAAACGAGAAAGATCTCCAAGACTTTTCAGATTCTTAAATCGTTCATCTCTACGCATATTATCAATGTAGATATCAAGATGCTGCTCAAGAGACAAAATCTCCTCATAACTGAAGTCATCTGGATAATACTTCACCAACCTCACCAATTTTTCCTTGTCAAACTCGTGGAATGAATCAAGAGGACTTAAAGAAGCCATACAAATAAGTAGATCAGTGTTTACCTCTGTAAAACGATCATTGAACTCTTGAAGCTGCAAATCTATAATAGTGTAGAAACAATTAACCTTATAATGATGCATGTTGGTTATATTGGTTTTCCTTCTTGGTTTCCTTGGATCAACAAAGATGTCTTCCATGACAAGCATTTCAGCATTATGTTTCTCGCAAAAAGATGAAACTTTATTCATAAGTGAATCCCATCCATCATCCCTAAGCTTCTGCAATTCTCCCTTAGTAGATTCCACCAATGACATGACATTCAAAATATCTTGATCTTTTCTTTGCAAACCATTGACAAATTCTCAGTTAAACCCAAAATAAGCATCATTAGTTGCATATAGAACACACAATCAAAAGTGTGAAAGTACTTGATCAGACCATATGCTTGACGTTTTTTGGAGTCTTCAACGCCTTCGTTTTGGATATACTCAAGAACCGCAATGATAGAAGAAAATAACTCAATTAATCGTTCCAACGTTCTCTGATGGGAACTCCAACGAGTATTTCCAGGTCTTTGGAGCGAAATTTCTTGATTCAGTCCTGTACCAATATTGATCTCACCACTACTAATTCCTTCCTGCACTTTTTCGATAATTTTCTCGAATCATATCTTGTCTTTTGCAAGAAGCTCCAACCACATTAACCAATGTAGAAATCATATCGAAAAAATCACCAACCTCAAAGTGCTTTTTGCGATTGCCACCACCACCAACTGAAGTTGATGAGCAAAACAATGAACATAATAAGCAGCATTGTTTTCTCTAACAACCAATGCTCTTAAGCCATTATTTCCACTTCTACCTTTAAAATTAAAAAATGCAAGTTTATAAATTTAAAAACTAATTCTCTTTTATTTTCTCAATGTTTTATTAGAAATCCTTATAGATATATATTCAAAAATTATATATATATTTATTATAAGCTTAATAAATATTAATATTAATATTAATATTACAAGTTTATATATATATATATATATATTTATTAAGCTAAGTATCGAAATATTATTACAAAATAATTAGGTATATAAAATATTAATATTTCTGGATTGAAACCAAATATATACCTAATTAAAATATAAATACTTACTGTGAAGAAGTTGTAAGAAATTTTCTACGTCTTTATTAGGGGATTAGAGGCCTACCTGGATATTTTCTAGTGTTGGACCGCCAATTTCTGGTGTTGGACCGCCAATTATACCATCAAATAATTGCCGTGTTTGATAAGCCCGATACGGAAAGGTGGCTGAAAAGTAAACAACCAAAATACTTAGCTTGATAAAAGTTAACAGAAATTTACTTTTTCAAAACCACTCTTTTATAAATGGTGAGTATTACTAATAAAGCATTGAGAAGATAAAAGATAATTAGTTTTCAGATTTACAAAATTCTGTATTTTTTAAATTTCTGTTTTTAATTTTAAAGGTGGAAGAGGAAGATCCCTATGTGTGTACCAAAAAAAATGTCGAGTTTTTGGATACCAACAATTGCGATATCCCAAAACTTGTCCGCCCAAAAGTTGCATTGGATTTTTGTAAAGTTCTTGCCGCTACAATTTTTTTGGCAAGCTAATTACGGACTATGTTAAACAACAACTTCAATCTTCTGGGATCAGAGTATCTCTGATCTATTCAGATAAAATCAATTGAGTAAATTAATGTTTTTTTTACTATATTTGTCTTGAAAAAAGGTTTAAGCAATATATGTGGGAATATGTTTCTGATAAACCTAATCTAAGCGATATGAAAATTGTCACAAGGATGGGTATATGGACGTTGGATAATACCGATGCAGCCAATATTTTATTGGTTTCAGGGAATGAGAACTATTGTTATATAATGGATCATCACCGATGTCGTTTTTGTGACAAGTGCGTACGATTTTATCTTACCAAATAATCATGATTTTAATTCATATCACTTTGTAGATCATCGTATTTTAGATCCGAAGTTAAGATGTTTTATTTTAGTAAAACAAAAAGAAAGATTAAGATCAAATAGTGAATTTATTTTTTGAATTGGTCTAATACATTTGATCAATGTTCTTAAATCCGACTGAGACAACAAATTAAAGTAATGTCTGAATCATCGGAACAACCCAATTCAACCGTAAATCAATTAGACTTAAATTTTTAAATATATTTATAGAAATTGTATATATAGTTTTATAAAAAAGATATACCATATTTGACAAAACATATGAAATTCTTATTGAAAAAAATTAACCTAGGGTAATCCTCCGTGCGCAGGACCACAATGGATCATATGGATTAATCCAATGTAAACGTTCCACGTGTACAGTGATTTCGTTTTGCCGCTTCCCGTTCTTAACCGCCAGTTGAAATTTAATTTCTTGTCTGAATTGGTTTGCTCAAACCGACAACTTGAACCAAATTAAGATACGACAACGTTTTAATTTCTTTTAACAGTCTTCATTGGAGTCGTTAAAGTGTCGTACTTTCTTGTGTAGTCGTACTCTGTCAACTTTAGGTCTTTTCTTCATTGAGGCTTGAACTTAAATATGACAAAGATGATGTTTTTACCAGACACCATTATGTTCCAATCGAACTACAATTAAGCGTTTTAGCTCTTTGCCAACAATCAAAACAAATACAAGGCCATGACTTAAACTATAGTACATCACAGAATCTAATGAGGCGTACTTGTATTTTTCTTTTTCTTGCCGAATGCTTGACTTTTGCTTTCTGATTCATCATCATCCTCACTATCATCACCGGCGTTCTTACTAGAACCAGCGGATTCTGCAACCGATCTTGCATTTTTTCTTTTCCCTGCAGCAAACTTGGCTTCTAGTTTCTGATCGAGAGGGTCGTCTGAGGGTCTACGCTTTGTTTGTCGTGACACTTTAGCACCAAGTCCAAGCCTACGCAGGGGTTACCACGATACTTATATTCAGCTTCAGTTTCTCAAATGAAATGTAATTTAACATGTAAAAAGATATTTGCGTCCACCTGTGTGGTCGTTCTTCTTGTGCAGTCTCGATAGGATCATCATCTGCGGACCTCGTCATATTGGCAACCCACTTCTCAGCCTGCAAAACGCACAAACTCAAAGCGGTGAGATGAAACCAAATTATATGGACGGCAAGTAAGCAATTTACAAATATATTTCATTGATCAAATGAAAGATGTAAATTATTAGCTTTGATTCAGGGACTTTGTGCTTCAAGAAGGAAAAAATCTTACAAGTTTTTGTGCCTTATCTGTTTTAAGAATCAGTGGAGTTCCCTTCTTCTTTGCCGTTTCCGTTGTCATTGCTACTAGAGTACCACCACCACTTCCTACAGTCCAATAAGTGATATGCTTACATTACTCAGTAAGACAAGTTCACAAGCGAGTTTTTCGGTAAGCTGGTTAAATCGAAGTCACATTGGCCAATCACTAGTTGAATGCAATATAGTTTCGAAGACAAAAGCAATGTTATTCCTCTTTCACCAAACTTTTCGAATTGGTCACTAAACTTAATCCCTAATGAGAGAATAGCAACAAGCGATGATTTTTATGGTTTAAAATCCACTAAACCTCTCCCCACAGAAACTATGTGACACAATTTCATCACAAATAGAATCATTAGATTCACACAGACAAATCAACAAACACCTTCCGTGCATATCCTAAGTAAACCAAACTTTAAGCTAGAGAGCCGCGAGTAAAGTCATTCACGAACAAGAACACACAGATCTTTGTGTGGATTAATGAAAAATTACCAGTTCAAAAAAGAATATTTGCGCCTCCGCCAAACGTACTTCTTCTCCACAGATGCCGACGATTATTAGCTCGCGATTTATCTGAGCTAATATTCGGAGCCGTCCAACAAGTTTTTTGATAACCAAAATAAACCGATGTTCGATTTCAGTTTCTTCGGCATAATTTTGGTTCGGTTCGGTTTGGTTAACTGAAATGGGCACGACAGTTTAGTAAAGGCCTGCGACTATGAGCCGAACGGTTAATTCGGTTTATTCGGAATTTAAAACCTATTCCGAATAGAATGGACTAATAATTCGGTCCGGTTCGGTTCAATATTAAGAGCATAAAACTTCTCTTCTTCTTTAATAATGAAACACGATCACGACAATAATCAAACAAACCTAAAACCCCAGAAAAATTCATACCACCAATGATTTACACAACAACAACTGAAACCAAAATTAGCCACAAACGATACACAATTCAAGGAAAATAAACAAAATCTAAGCGAATCTGCTCATCACATCATAGAAAAATAGTATCATCCAGATTCAAAATCGAAGAACAAGAAATTTGGCAACAAAAACTCTTACCTAACTGCTCAGAAAACAATTTATGAACAAATCCACGAGTAATAAGGACAGTAAATTAAGCCGAGAACTAAAAATATAAGAGAATCGACGACATAAATTGAAGAATCGATGAGAGAGCTCACCAAAGCTAAAGCACCAGATTCTCAGAGAAATGAGGATTTGTTGAAGAAAACGAGAAGAGATGAAGTGCTAAGCCACATAATCAAAGAATCTAAACGATCCTATCAACAACGAGCATGAAATCAGAGAGATACATGTGAATAACTAACCTCTCGTAATCAATATCGCAGAAGAGAGAGATGGATGATGAAGATCGAAGTTGAAGAACTATCGTTTTTTTTAGGTTTCGCCACCTCAGAGAGAGAGACTGCGATTAGGTTAGGTTTTTTCTTTAGCATCTAATGACTGGTCGGTTATCTCTTTTACGAACCGAACCGAATGCATACCCGAACTAATTTTACTCTCATTCCGATCGGTTCTAGTTGACTGTTATGAACCGAACCGATTTGTCCAAATCTCGGTTCGGACAAATCGGTTTCGGTCTGAATCTCTTTATTTTCTGGTTGAGAGAAAAATGCTTAAGAAGACTTGCTCCGATTCGTATCGTCGTCTACTTGCTCCGATACCCTCGTCGTCTTCATCTTTATCATCTACATCGAGAAACAGAACAGAGATCGAACTTCTCACAAGAATCATCAATGATCATCCATTCCCAAATCATCCAATTCAACCAATTTTCACCAAGCACATCCCTTTATCCTCTCTATCACCGGAATTTGTATCAGATGTTCTCGGTCGTCTCTTCGCTGCTCATTCCAATGGCCTTAAAGCTCTCGAATTCTTCAAGTATTCACTTAAAAGCTCTAATTCTTCTCCCACCTCTGATTCATTTGAGAAAACACTTGACATTGTCGCACGGATGCGTTATTTCGATCAAGCTTGGGCTTTAATGGCGGAAATAAGAAAAGATTATCCTGATTTGTTGAGTTTCAAGTCAATGAGCATCCTTCTCTGCAAAATCGCCAAATTTGGGTCTTATGAAGAAACTTTCGTGAAGATGGAAAAAGAGATATTCAGAAAAAAATTTGGTGTCGATGAGTTCAATATTCTGATAAGAGAGCACATGTGGCAAGAAAGAGGCACGTGTGAAGAGAAGTATGAGAAGAATAAAAAAGTATAAATAGAGATATAGTAGCATCGTGAGCTTTATCCTGCGTGATCATTGATGTGTGTTGTGTGTAACAAACGTATGGTTTGTTAGAGGAGAGTTAGGAGATCTCTTGAACAAATCTCCATTGTTAGGGTTCTTGAGTTTGTATCTTGGGTTGAGAAGTGATAAGAGAGGAGTTTCATATCTCAATTCTTATCATAGTCTAATGAAGTGCGGAGATGTGAGTGGTGATGAAAGAGATGGAAGAGAAAGGAATTGAGCCTGACAGTGTAACTCTCCACTCGATGTTTATCGGAATGATGAAATCGAAAGAGTTTGGATTCAACGGGGTATGTGAGTATTACCACAAAATGAAGGAAAGATGTCTGGTTCCAAAAACACCAACGGTAGTGAGGCTGATGAAGCTGTTCTGTCAGAACTGTGAAGTCAACTTGGGATTAGACCTTTGGAAGTATATGTTGGAGAAAGGGTATTATTGCCCTCATGGCCACTGCACTGTGTGCTCGAAGAAGAGGCAATGATGCATTTGAGTGCTCGAGGCAAACAGTGGAGAGAGGAGGGTGCGTAAGCGAACCAGTCTATCGGATGTTAGAGACCTCATTATCAAGTAACAACGAGTTGAAGAAACTAGAAGAACTCAAGGGAAAGATACAAAAACTTCATAGCTTTTTGCCACCTCCTGGAACACAGCTAATCTAGAAAAGAGCTTCACTGTAATCAGTTCTTGTTTGCAGACCAACCAAATTGAGAGACTAGTATGTTGATTCATAAATTTTTTGTCACCCAATTTTGAGATTTGTAATTGGGGATTGTTGTTTATGAACCAGGAAGACAGTATTGTGTGTGATTCAGACAAGCTTGTGATTTTACATGAACAACAGAAACAAAGGACCAAGCTTTTTGAGCCAAGAGCAAAGTAGACAGAGTTAGACATTATATGGCTACAGATTTACAGCTAATAACATCTATATCATCATCCCAAGTCTTTGGTATAGAAGAACACACCATTACTCCGTTCATTGTCGTCTTCCTCACATTCTCAACATCAATCACCACAGTAGAGCAATCCTTACCAATCACAAAGATACTATTTCCAATAGAAACAAGCCGACAAGGCTGCTTCATCACCAATTGAGATAGCTTCCCGATACGAATCCACATTCTTGTTTCCTTGCACCACATTGTTAGCGTAGCTCCAAAACATAGAGCTCATCTGCCACAACAACTGCTGAACCTCGCCATCCTGATGCCATATCATCATCCATATGTTCCCAAATTCCGCTAGATGCACTGGAAGATCCACCACCACCACCCCGAATATAAATCCTTCCGTCCATTACAAATGAATCTTCTATTTCAGGGACAATATTTACATCAGAACAAGATTTGCAGGTTCTGGTCAAAGGATCATAGATGTCCCAAGTTCGTTTAGCGTTTGGATTCAATCCTAGCCCACCAATTGCTATAATTTTTCCATCCAGCGTTTCACAAGCAAAGTAGCATCTGCATATGCAATCGGAGGAAATTAAGGCTGGAAAGAACAATATCAAGTATTAAGAATCCTAAGATAAGTATAAGTACCTTTTAGTTGAAAGAGAAGGTACTACGTCAAACCAAGTGTTTATAGCAGCATCAGAGCAATAAACCTCATCAGTAGCATCTTCTAACCAACCACATCCACCCAACACAAACAGTCTCTTACCCAATGCTGCAAAACCCATGCCTTCTCTCATTGGGATATACGGATATTCATGGATTCTTTTCCATGATCTTCTGGACGAGAACGGATTCAGCATGTGTAAGAAGACACCGCCAGATATGTCGATCGCAAAATTCATCACACAATGCATAAATCCAAGATTCAGCCAAGTTAAACTTGTTTCGATAATCGCAAAATTCATCTCCTTGAAACACATTTCATTGCCATGTGATATTCTCTTGGAACTCTAGCCAAGCAGGATTTCGAGATATCATGAGGAACTCCGCTTATAAGCGCAATTTGTGTCTCGTTTTGATTCATCTGCACGTTCTGTCTCCTCTACTATACACGCCATTGTGAAATGATTCTAGAAAACTCTGTTCATGGCCAAAAAATAAACAAACACTGGCTCAGATATGGCTAATCCCTAAACTAACTTAAAGTAGCAATTTACATAAGTAGCAGTATACTCAAGATCTTTGAAGATAAATAAGAGCATTGCCATAACAACAAATCAAACAGTCGAAGAAGAAGAAACAGATCGAATTCAAACAAGTACAGATCCAATGTACAAAAAAAACGCAAACCAATTATTTAGCTCTCACAGCTGCCACCTCCCTACTAGGCGTGGGTCCACCCCTGACTAGAGGTTCGATCTTTATTCTCTAACTCGCTTTGTCTTTTGGGAGTAACATAGATTTTGATATGATCTTTGTAATGTGTCAGGCATCAGAGTGGATGTGTAAACACAGTGTGTTTGATATTTTTCAGGAAGATTATGCAGCTCGGCTTCATCTGGTTAACACTGTGCTTGGTGTGGAAGAAGCTGAGAAGATGTTCAAAAACATCCCCGAGAAGATGAGGGATTACTCTGTCTACTCCGTTCTCTTGAGCTCTTACACTAGTGAGAGAGCTAGGGTTTCTATTGAAACCTTACCCGTTCAACTCTATGATTAGTCTCTATGGTCAGCTCAAGAAACTAGATATGGTCGAGAAGCTTCTACATGAGTTGAAGAAAAACAATGTGGAAGTCGGCAGTCTCACGGTGAACAATGTTTTGAGGGTATACGCGAGAATAAACAAGATAAAAGCGATGGAGAAGTTTAAAACGTCTGTTTATAAAGAAGAAATCGAACTAGAAAGAGACACGATCGTTGCAATGGCAAACGCTTACCATAGAGCTGGTTCAATAGAAAAGGCGATAGAGGTGCATGGTGATAAAGCAGGGAGTAAAACAGAAGTGTATCATCTTTGGAATTCATACAAGAAGGAAGGGAAGCTGAAGGATGATGGATATCGAAGCGTCATTAGCTCGTTGTTGAAGTTGGATGATGTACAAGGAGCAGAGAATATATATAAAGAGTGGACACCAAAAGGACCAAAGCTAGATATAAGCATACCGGGTTTGCTGATTTCTCAGTTTTGCGCGGAAGGAAAGGCATCAAAGGTTGAAGAACTGATTAGAAAGAAGAGGAATGGGATGTATTTAAAGATGGCACAGAACGTTTGATCACGTTAGGGCTAAGTGTTGGCTTGGTTACATTTGTGGTAGTATTTTATATGAAGGTAGTATTTTATATGTTGCTAAACAACCCCTTCTTATACTTTTTGCTTCGATATCATGGAATCATTTGAAGTTTCACCAATACAGAAATTAAACTACAGTATATAATAACTTCTTGTTTTTCTTCTTTTTCTACTACACTTAAATTGAATTATTGGTACTGACTATTATTAATGGGAGGAGTGGGTCAACCTCTTTTATACTTGTAGACAAGAAGAAACTACTTTTTTTCTTTTCTTGAGAAAATATTTTTAGGATTGGGTCTTGATTTGGTATGAGACATGTTGTTATCATATTCTTGTCTGATCACTTGATTTCTTATTATTTAAAAAAACTTCAGAACAGCTTTTGTTAGATTTTGGTATGTGGTTCTGTTAGATTCCTTTCCACCTAGTCATGGTATTGTTCGGATACCAAACCCAATCACTGTCCTTTTTACCTTCCCATCTCTCTCTTAATTCCTCCTTTTATTAGCTTCTTCTCTTCTTCTAACACCAAAATCACCATCTTGATTGTTATTATTATCATCATCTCATATTCAAGAAGATTTATGGGTTTTGATCTCAAATTCATAAGAAAGAGAATGCCGTCGAAGAATTATCGATATTCATCTTCTTCTTTTTCTTCTTCTTCATCTTCTTCTCAGCTAAGTACTCCAAGGTACTTTGCTTTACCGAGGTTAATCAAGTCTTAATGATTGGTATTGAAATTTAATCTTGTTTATTAACCTATGTTTTTTTTTTTTTTTATCTTGCAGAGCACTTCAAAATGGGCCATCTCAAGCCATTGATGTAAGTTCTTATTTTTATTTTTTTGACGTCATTCATCTACTATTCGATTTCTTGATGAATAAGTTAATTTTTTTTTTGACATCATTCATCTACTATTTGATTTCTTGATGAATACGTTAATTTATTTTTCAAAATCGTGGTTTTTTTGTTTGTATCCAAAGAAATCTCCTCTCTGGGATATTGAGAAGGTGAAGTGCAGCGTTAGTTCCTCAGTGTATAAGGTCAATTTCACATTTTATGTTTTCATGTACATATCTTATATATGATACATACATGTGAGCTTATCTAGTTAGGGGATCTGGATTTTGCAGTCGAACGAAGAACTTATTGGAGAGATCGCAGAGCTTGACACAGAGATCTTACTTTTAGAGCGGTATCTTCTCTCGCTATACAGATCATCTTTCGGGGATCATTTGCCTGCATCATTGTTACTAGATAATTCTCCACTCCCTCCATCCAAGACCAAATTTCACAATGATCGCGCCTCTTCGGTTTCTGATATGTCTGTCTTGTCTAGCTTCAAATCATTGTCTGAGATGGTGAATGATCTTAATTTTTTCATATGCATATATTGATATAGTTGTAGTGTTTTGTTTTGCTTTAATATTAATTTGTGATTGTGAAACGTTTTTTTCAGGACAAGATAAAAAGATCCGACTCTGGTCACCCGAGTTTGGCTGATCTTCTTGGTCTTAACACTCTCAGTCCCAATAAACTCTCTGAAGAGATTCTGAGAAGTATTTGTGTGGTACACTACAAACTCTCAGACAAGCAGGGACATAGCAGAATAGTCAAGAAGAACTCAAAGAATGAAAATATTAATGAGGAACTTGGAGTTGTTATCGGTAAACTTTGCCTAGAAGATGACAATTTGAAGTCGGTAGAGAGCTTGCTTCAGAATTTTAGGTGAGATTGCATTGTAAAGAAAATGTGTAAGAATTCTTGCATTACATAGATTTTAAAGTGGCTTACTCTTTCTAGAACTGACTAAAATCCAGATCGTTGGTTCAAAAGCTCGAGAAAGTTGATCCGGAAAGGATGGCTAGGGAAGAGAAACTTGCGTTCTGGATAAACATTCATAATGCTTTAGTGATGCACGTAAGCAAATTAGCAAATCTGAGTCCCTTACCATAATTTTCAAGTTCCTTTTGTTATTATTATGATATAACACTGGTGTGATCTTACAGGCGTATATAGTATATGGATTTAGTGAAGATACAACAAGCACAACGATCTTGAAGGTTTGAGATAGTTGACAATTTTCTTCTATCAATTGCATTGTAAAACAGTAGATAATTTGAGCCATTAAGCGGTTAGATGTTTAACCTGTCCAGGCAGCATTTAACATCGGTGGGGAGCGGATAAACGCATACGATGTCCAGAGTTCGATATTGGGCATTCATGCATGCCATTCACCATCAGTAAGTTGATTTTGCAATAGTTTTTTTTCCAAATAAACCATAGTATTTTTAGTAACTCTCCTCTGGAAAAGCAAAAATGAAAGAAAACTTGAGAGCGAAGTCATATTCTCAAAATCTTAAACTTTCTAAATATGTGAAATCTGCCATGGCAGCGTTTATGGACGTTATTTTCACCGGCTAGGAGTTCAAAGACAAGTAGCGGTCGACACACTTATTCGTTGGATTATGCTGAACCACTTCTTCATTTTGCCCTCTCTACAGGAGCATCAACCGATCCAATGGTAATAATACCGATTCGATTCCTTTCTCCTTTTGATCTCCTCACAAACCGAGTTAACCATTTCAAAACAATGTAATGGTTTATCAGGTCAGAGTTTATACAGCAGAAGGAATCTTTCAAGAACTTAGGCAAGCAAGAGACCGTTTCATCCAAACAAGTGTTCGATTTGAGAAAGAGACAAAGATTCTATTGCCAAAGATCATTTACAACTACGCAAAGGATACTTCTCTCAACATGGTTGAACTCTTTAATACCATATCAGAGTGCCTAACAGAGACACAAAGAACGACACTGACACGAGTTGTAAAGAAAAAACAAGACAGATACATTCGTTGGATTAACCATGACTCCAACTTCCGTTATATCATCCATCCGGAACTCATGAGAGAGAGTTTTTATATTTGACCACCTTCTTCTCTACCTAGACACTATATGGTTCGTCTGTATATCTAGTTTTTTGTTTTGTGACATGATTTTGCTAAATGATAGAGCCTGAACTTGTGTACATCGTGGATTAAACAATGTGTGTTCATATCTAAAAGATTCAAGTAGCAGTTCAATCCAAAACAAGACGTCAATCGAACATACCCAAAAGTAACAACCAAGAGAAAAAGAAATCATACAAACAGTCATTTGTTAGGCATTATACGTATACTTTATGTGTATATATATTCATAATATATAGCATACTAACTAAACACCACACAGAACACAAGCTTAATTTGTTCTGGCAAGAGAAAAGCAAAACCAAAAACTCTACAGATTAGTCAAAAAAAGGTACCAATAGTAAAAAAGGGTTTCTTCTAGTCATGCCATGCAAAATCTCCTTTCCTTCGTCCGCTTCTTCTATAATCGATTTCTGCATCTGAACTGCATAGACCCATCTTGTACTTTCTGCTTGTCTTCGCTTGACCTCCACTGCCCGGTGTGCTTGCTCCAGATATGTGCCCCGTTTCTCTCCCCCGCATATCATATGCTTTCATATAACACAGGAGATTTCAAAACATAGACTCCTCGCTTGAGGTAAATTTCAAGACTCAGATAATGTGACATTACCATTGTACAACTCAAGCGGCTCTTGTAAGTTGCGTCTCTTATCTGCACTTTTTTGCAGGTTCAAGTTAGCCTCTGAGCCATACGAATTTAGCCCTTCACCTTGTGATGTAGCCTTTATATTACTGTTTGATGAAGTTGCATCCAAGGTACTACGTGGTCTCATGGTGAAGGAGTCATCATTCACATGTGTGATCTCTACATATTGGCTTGTCGTGATGACTTCATCTGCACTGAAACCAAAGGAAGCTCTGTATGCTTCCAGTTCTTCCATATCTTGCTTAGAATTGCGTTGACCATTTCCACCACTAGGATAAACATTTGAGTCCTTCGAAACACTTAGTCTTCCACCAGTTTGAAAAAATGGGGCATCAAGGTCAAGATAGTATCGAGCAAATGTGTCAAGACAGAAGAAATTAGAACCTTCAGATGTCTTTAGAGTATTGTTTGTCTCAGGCGTCTATGCATAACTAGAGTCACTCCTTGAACATTTTCCTAATCTTGGCGAAGCCAAAGGATCCCATTGCAGTGAGAACTCACGCTCGGGAAAGGATGAGCATCGACCATCACCTGAGATCCTTGAGATTGGAGATCTAAGATTACTCGCAGGACTGCCAGGATACAGTGCGTATGTTGCATGGAGATCGTTTGCAGAAATAATCACCTTTCTCTGTTTTCATCACATCATCAGCAGATGTCAAGAACCGAGCATAAGGTACATCAGGTGAAGAAGGAGTGGTGAGATGTGCTAACTCAGGAGGAGGAGTCAAAGGAGCAGTAGATGGCTCTGTGGTATAAGTTGAGAAAACCGGTGGTGAAACCAATTGGGTCTCATGAGCATAAGGACCTGTTGCAAACATTGAAGGTGAAGGACCACCAGGAGAGTTAGCAGATAACAAAAGCTGGCAATTCGTGGATTGCATTGTCGAAGGAGCAGGAGATTGTTAGAAAGAAGCTGGAGAAGAAGGTGGAGCAAGCATTGATGTAGCTTGATTACTCAATCCAGTTGCAACATTCCCATCATGTATTCGAGAAGCTGGCACAATACGTCTCTCTCTTTTTCTCGCACCAAAACAAGACAACACTTTAAAACACCGCTTCCTCTGTCAATACATAAAAAAAAAAAAATCATCAAACACACAAAAAATTTGAATTATACTAACAAACACAAGAACATGAATCATTACTTGAACCTAATAAGGAACAAATCAACCACATAAGATTCTGAAGCAGTTTCTATTACAAGACTAAGACTAATTATGACTTAATCAAGAAAGGGTCCAAAATAATAATTGTCTACATCAAGATCGGTCCACACACACCAACTTCTACTAGGTGTGTGTCTCAATGAGAGTGACTTTATTGCAATTCAATCAAAGTTCCGGGACCATTTTTATCTACTACCGATCATATACATTGATTCCTTCAGGAACAAAGCTAAAGCATTCAAATTTTCACAACTTTCAGCTAAAAAGAAGAAGAGGACACAGACCCGTTCTCGAAGAGGAAGCCTATACGCCATTACCATATCACTTCTTCTTGCTTAAATCTTATTCTTCTTCGAACGAATTTCGGAAGAAGGAGATCGCCGGATCCAAAAAGTTTGAGAAATCTCACAAATCTTTTTTGTTTAGTTCATCTAGTTGAGAGAAGTGGCACATATTTAAGTGAGAATTAGGGTTTAAATCGAGCTTTGATATGGATGGAAGCAATAGAGAGAACAAAGATTCAGCCGCAATTTAGGGTTTGTTTATCTCTTTGAGAGCAGATGCATCTAGAAGAAGAAGAAGCAGAGGCTGACACAATGTAGATTTTGCTGCTCTAAGGCAAGACAAATGCAGTTTTTGGAAAGTAAAATCCAGTGTTAGAGGGTGATTAGTTAGACTATACTCATAGAAAATTTGCTATAGAATTTTGGCGGTAAGGTAAGTGTGTAAGTCGTAGTTGTAAAATTTCGGGCGTAACTTTTTGGCTGTTGGTATAGATCTTAAGAATATAGAATTTTGGCTATAAATTTATTCGTTGTAACTAAATATTACTAGATCCTGACCCGTACGTACGTGCGGGATTTTATATTTTAAAAAATATTTTTTAATAAAATTTAATTCAATGTAGATTATTTTGTTGTTTTATATGTATATCTATACACATATTTAGATAAGACAATGAGAGAAAGTAGTGTCGTCCCGTCCCGTCCCGTCTCGTTGCCTATCTTAAAATTTCTCGTCACATAACTGTTTCCTTTAAAATAGTTACCAATATGAGAATGTTTAATTTAGTTCAACAGAAAAGAGAATGGGTAAGAGATTTAGATGGAATACCCGTATTTTACGTATTTTTTCTTTCAAGATTTAATTTTTACAAAATAAATAGAATCTATTCAATTTTTTTTTTGTTAAACATTCTCTAATTGTTTAAAACGCTGGTGCGGATTATATTTGAACACTTATTTATTTGGTATAATATTCATAATTTGACAATCCCACGAAAGAAATTTTATAATTCATATTCATAGAATACTACATAAAAACTTTATTCACCCGCGGTCTATAAAAATTGTTTTGTTTTCTCTAGTTGAAAAAAGCTTCATGGTTGTAAAGATTCAAACACAGAAAATAATAAAAATATCAAATACTAATCCAACTATTATTCTATTTGTTTTAATTATCTCTTTTCAAACTGTAGTAACATGATATTTTCTGTTTGAATTATCTATTAACAAGTTCAAACTTCGACATATGAACTATTTTTATCACTTTTTTAGTATTTCGTTTGCATAAACTGAGTGTGACTGTCTTTTGACCCAACTCAATACAAGCTAAGCCATGGCTCGACAAACCTATGTAGTTAATTTATAAGTTGTAGAAACATAACGGAAATGAGAGTATAATGTTCTATTTGTAATTATCATCCCACAATTAAAAGAAATGTATCCAAAAGTCAAATTTATAAACAGAGAACAAAAATTAATTAGTTACGACTTACATTTGGAATGGTGGGCTAATGAATATTTGTGAGTCTAATTTTAGATATTTATAGGGAGAGATGAAGTTAATGAGAAAAATTAGGTTTACCTACTTTGAATTTTAAAAAATAATTCAATAT